TTTCCCTACCTCAGCCCAGACTGTGTTTCCATCAGCGGCTTTGGATTTTAAAAAGCGAAAGCTAGGAGGTGGTGCGTGAAGGAGAATCTTCATGGGCCTTGTATAGTGGTCAAAACACTGGACTAGGATCTGGAAGTCCCAGGTTCAAATCCTCACTCTGCCATGGTGTTCACTGGGTAACCTTGGGACAGTCGCCGTCTCAAAGTATCCTATCTTACATGAACATCCGAACTGTGTTAGTTCGAGCCCCGCGCTGGTGTGAGCAGCCAGCCTGTTGTCCCCAGCTCATCGTCCACCCAGCGATTTGAAAGCTTCGGCGAGTAGATAAAATGGGAACCACTCCTCAGAGAGGGTGGGCACACCAATCTCCCTTGTGGGAGGGTGTTAGCTGACGGTCGGGATGTCCTGGTCGAGGTTTGGAAAAGGCGGAAGAACTTCTCGGCTACAAAAAAATCCCTGCAGTGGATGTTTCTGGCCAGGCGGTGGCAGTGTGGCGATGCAACATACGGGTCCTGAAGCCTGGTCGACAAGCAGCTGTTCGGAAAATGACTGAGCCAAGCCAGAAGACGTTTACACCGTGCAGTGACAGCGTGTGCAATTAAAAAATTAATGCATGTTGTCTTCCCTATCCCCTATGAACATTGTTAGTCCCCTGTGTCTAATGTGTAACTGTACATCGCTTTGAGCCCACTGGGGAAAGCGATTAATAAATTGAAAGTATTATTATTATTTATTATTATAACAATTAGTGTTTTCCACTTCTCAAGATTCATGAATCAATAAGCTTGTAAGGGAAAAGGAGAGGAAAGGATAACACACTCATTCTTCTTGGTAACCAGCTTTTTTAGAAGCAAGGCTCTTGGGTCTAAAAGTTGCCCCTCCCGGTATTCAGGAACTGACCAGATGAAGGTTTTCCTGGTGTGGAGATACAGCATTGGGAAGGGCTGAATATCTTTCGGTCCGGCTGCTGTACAAGGAACAGGGGTCTGGTTGGAGAAGGAAGCTGGCAGTGCCCTGGAGAAGTTCTGACGTTCAGGCCCGCAGCCAGGATTCTGTGGCTTGTGGGGGAAATTTTTTTTCTGGTGGGGCTGAAGTTCTCAGTGCAGAAAGAAAAGCCATTGAGCCAATAGAAAGCTGTGACCGGGATAGATCTCTAAATTGCAAGCTGTCAGGCACTTTAGATGACCGTTCGCAGCCGCTGCAAGTTAATCACTTCTGCCAGCCTAAGCAGCAATTCTGATAACAAGCCGGCAGGTGGGGGGGGATGACTTCTATAGGCAAGAAAGCGAACACTGAGGCAGAAAAAATAAGGTGTTAGAAGGGATCCCAGAGGTCACATACTCCAACCCCCTTGCTCAGTGTGGAAATGAGTCAACAACAGCACCCCACTCTGCTTAAAGAAGCGCACGCCTTTAAAAATGTTATAAAATGATTGGGAAAAAAGCATTTACAGGAAAAAGTCTTGTGGGGGCGGTGCCTGTAAGAAAGGGGGCAGAGCCGCCCCCAAAGCCCCACCGTAGCGACGGGCCTGCTGATCTCCTCCTCTGATATTTATTATCCATGGCCGACCCCCGTCTTTCCTTCCTTTAGACTTTCCCCAACCGTAGATGAAACTAATCCGTTCTCGCTTCTCATTCCAGCTCTTCACAGAATATGGGCGGCTGGCCATGGAGGAGACGTTCTTGAAGCCCTTTCAGGTGAGTGAGAGGATGCTGGGGAAGCCCCCCCCCTACACATTTCACTGCGCCCCCCCCCTGGCACATACCGTTTTTGTTTGGGGACCTCAACCCCATCCTGGAGACCTGACGCAGGGATGGCGACGTCTCTGCTCTTCAAACTCTAGTCCCGGGCAAGAAATACTAGGTCTCCCCAGAGATAGCATTACCTAGAGGTAGCATTACCTAGTGAGTGTCAGAACCCACAGCCAACAACGTAGTACACGCTTATCAGGAAAGGTGATACTTTATTGAAGAGCTATAGATGCATTAACGTAGGCACTGTTAAGAATGGCGGCAGCTGGTACTTAACACCTGCTCGGCTAAATAAAATGGATCCAAAAATAAATAAACTCTGCTGGAAAAATGTGGGAAGACTGGAGATTTTATGCATTGTTGGTGGTCCTGTCCCTCATCTCAACAGTTCTGGACACAAATTGTACAACAAATTAATAAAATTACGGGAATTAACTTATCTTTTCTACCTGAAACAGTCATGTTGGATGTCATCCCAGATACCTGTGAAAGTAACGTCACTAGAAAATTAATAGCAACATTGTTAGCAATTGCACGAATAACATTAGCCCAATACTGGAAAAACAAAAATCAACCTACTCTTCAATGTTGGCAAAACAAAATCTGGGAACACTTTGTATATGGTAAAATTGTCTCTCACCAAAAAGATTTTCAAGCAACTTGGCTCCCAGCAGTGGAATATCTCACAGAGGAAGAAGTGATTCCAAACAACTCTTATTACAAAGATCTGTTATATTTTTAAAAGGCGCTTACGGGTTGAGAATGTTGATTATTACATGGTATTAATATGTGTTCTGAATGTACTGTTGTATATATGGTTTAAAATAATAATGAAAAAAACATTTGAAAAAGAATGGCGGCTGCCCCTGGGGCATAATAGTATATAGGGTATTCGTATGCACCCCCCCCCCACTGCCCTGGCCAATGAGCCACACTCCCGCATGCGGGAGACAGGGCTCCGGCCGTTTAGCGCTGAAGCTGGGAACCAGACTCTCCCCCACAATTCCCGAGAAACCCAGACATCAACACCACCACCTGCAGAACTTATAGATAAGCATTTCAGCAGCAAGGAAGCACAGAAGGAATGCACTGGCAATTAGAACACTACCCCGTGGCAGCATAGCCGACAGTGAGAAGGAATCACCGATCTAGAGCACGTGAGCGTGGAGGGTACGATGGCCGTGGGTTGGGAGGAAGTGAGGAATGAACGTGCTTCCTGAAGATAACCATGAGGCAGGTTGGCCCTGGTTGCTTGTAGGGGGCTGTGGCTCAGCGGTAAAGCCTCTGCTTGGCACGCAGAAGGTCCCGGGTTCAATCCCCCGCATATCCAACTTAAAGGACCAGGCAGCAGGTGATGGGAAAGACCTCCGCCTGAGACCCTGGAGAGCAGCTGCCAGTCAGAGTAGACAGTACTGAACTTGATGGACTAGGGGTCTGATTTCGGTATAGGGCAGCTTCATGTCTGTTCCTGTGGGACCGCCAGATGACAAAGTACCTTACGAAATACCTGCAGAGTCTAAGGGCGTCTTCTTGCTCCAAGTGAAGTTGGAGGTGATTTTTTAAAAATGGCACCCTGATGAAAATGATGTGGCCTCTGTCGGGGCCAGTGTTTCCTCTAAGCTGAGTTAGTGTGAGCTAGCTCACCGTTTTTGAGCCTCCAGCTCACACATTTCTGTCTGAGCTCAGGAAGGGCGGCTCCAGAGCCAAACTAATTGATGCAGCAGCCAAATGGCTCGCTCACAACTTTAATGCCAGCAGCTCGCAAAGTAGGATATTTGCTCACAAGCCTCCACAGCTTAGAGGGAGCTTTGCTCCAGAGCAAACTGATTTATGCAGTAGCCAAATTGCTCGCTCACAACTTTAATGTTAGTAGCTCACAAAGTAGAATTTTTGCTCAGAAGATTCCACAGCTTAGAGGGAGTGTTGGTCAGGGCCTAACCAAATTGCTTGGCAGGGTCAATAAAACCTTGCAATGCTGTTAGGTCATTTCTGCTGTGGATGGCCAGGCTGCTGTGCCAACATAACATAAGAACATAAGAGACGCCAATGTTGGATCAGGCCAGTGGCCCATCCAGTCCAACACTCTGTGTCACACAGTGGCCAGAAATACCAGGTGCCATCAGGAGGTCCAGCAGTGGGGCCAGGATGCTAGAAGCCCTCCCTCTGTTGCCCCCCCCCCCAAGCACCAAGAAGACAGAGCATCACTTGCCCCAGAGCCTTTATCTATACCTTGTGGCTAATAGCCTCTGATGGACCTCTGCTTCATATGCTTACCTAATTCCCTTTTGAAGCCGTCCATGCTTGTAGCCACCACCACTTCCTGTGGCAGTGAATTCCAAGTGTTAATCACTCTTTGGGTGAAGAAGGACTTCCTTTTATCTGTTCTAGCCCGACCGCTCAGCAATTTCATGGAGTGCCCACGAGTTCTTGTTTTGTGAGAAAGGGAGAAAAGTACCTCTTTCTCTTCCTGCTCTTTCCCATGCATAATCTTATAAACCTCAATCATGTCACCCCTCAGTCGTCATTTCTCCTAGCTAAAGAGCCCTAAGCGCTTTAACCTTTCCTCATAGGGAAAGTGTTCCAACCCTTTTATCATTTGAGTTGCCCTTTTCTGCACTTTTTCCAAAGCTATAATATCCTTTTCAAGGTGTGGTGACCAGAATTGCACACAGTATTCCAGATGAGGTCGCACCATTGATTTATATAGGGGCATTATGATATTGGCTGATCTGTTTTCAGTACCCTTCCTAATAATCCCCAGCATAGCATTGGCCTTCTTTATTGCAGTCACACACTGTCTCGACATTTTCAGTGAGTTATCTACTACAACTCCAAGATCTCTCTCTTGATCAGTCTCTGCCAGTTCAGACCCCATCAATGTGTATTTATATTTAGGATTTTTGGCTCCAATGTGCATCATCTTGCACTTGGCCACATTGAACCCCATTTGCCATGTTGACACCCACTTGCCCATCTTTGACAGATCCCTTTGGAGTGCCTCACAATCCTCACTGGTTTTCACCACCCTGAACTTCGTATCATCCGCAAATTTAGCCACTTCACTGCTTACTTCCAACTCCAAATCATTAATGAACAAGTTAAAAAGCAGTGGACCAAGTACGAGGAAGACCATCCACAATTCACAACTATATGTGCTCAAAACTGTATATCTCATATATTGAAATACAAAGAAGGGTTAGTGGCCATAACCCAATTGACTGTATAGGCACTTATCCAGCAGATTGCTCATCAGAATATTTTACAAAAAGAACGTGTTCAAAACCAAGAGTAGGTTCCTCTGTAATTCCATGCATAGATAGTGTCCATAGGCCCCCAAACAGAAGGTAACTGCAGCAGAAGACGCTCACTGTGGAAAGAATAACAGGCAAACGCCTCTCCCAGGTATAAATCAAGACGTTTCAGTGGTCTTCAGCAGTGGCTGGTAAAACGGAACCCGATTTCCAAAATAACATAGGCACAGCTATATAGCTTCAATGCAAGGATCTTGACTGTAGATGTAACCTGATTTATTCATCTTTTCTCTGTCTGTCTGTCTTTTCCCTTTTTAACCTGTCTAGTCCCTAATATTTCTTGTCCGTGACTGGAGCTTTCCTTTTTTTTTACGAATTTTCCTACGGGGCTGACGGCGGTGCGAAGTTCTTGGAAAAGCGCCTCAAGGTTGGTATTGCTCACGAGGGGAAGGCCAGACCTTGGAAGCAAGGTTCCGCACCCTTGGCTTCCATTTAAGGGGGGGAAGAGACATCAAGTTTCTAGTCCTGATTGCTCAAAGTGAGGCGCAGGGGCCACATCTGGCGGAATCTCAAAAGCTGAGGGGGGTGGGCAAGGACTTTCTGCTGTCAATGGGCTATCTTGCCGTTCTCCCCAGTGGGGGACCCAAAGCAGCTTCCATCATTCTCCTCTCCTCCATTTTATCCTCACAACATCCCTGTGAGGTAGGTTAGGCTGAGAGTGTGCGACTGGCCCACAGCTACCTGTAAGCCGGGGGTGGCCAAACCCGCTCAGCGCAGGAGCCACCTAGAATAAACATCAGCTGTTTGAGAGCCACAAGACATGAACAGATAGTACACACACATTTTTATTTAAAAATATACAGATTTGCTTTTTATTAATGTTATAAATGAGACTGCTAGAAAAGAAAACAGTATATTGATAATGATATTTATTTGTTCAATGATATTTGTTTGCTAATGATATTCATTTGTTTAAGAGAGAGAGAAAATGGGAGAGAGGTGGAAAGAAAAAATGAAAGAGGTGGAAAGAAAGGGAAAGGGAGAGAGAGAGAGAGAGAGAGAGAGAACCAAGAAAGCAAACAGATGGGAGGGAGGGGGAAGGAAGGCAGGGAGAAAAATCATCCCCAGCCGCCCTGCCGGGAGCCACAGAATATGTGTGGAAGAGCCGCATGTGGCTCCCGAGCCACAGTTGGGCCACCCCTGCTGTAAGCTAACGTGGTGGAGTGGGGATTTGAACCTGGGTCTCCCGGCTCCTAGTACAACACCTTAGCCGCTACACCGCACCAGCTGTGGCATTGCCCTCGGAAGCTCTTTTGCTTCTGAGGGCAATCTCCTAGGGTGGGGCCAGATGGTAGCCAAGGTCAAGTGACTGTAGGAAATGGGATTGGTGGGTCAAGAATGGTGGAGCTGGGGCGGGGGAGGCAGGCAGCAGGCGCAGATGCCTCCCAGCTTGGCAAGGTGGCGTGAGGGGGGCAGTGGCTCTGTTCTGAGCAGGAACACCACCACCACCACCCCGGAAATAATACAGGGAACGGGAGGAGAGGACGTGTCGGCTCGTGACAAAAGTGGGTGAGTTGTTGAGAGCTCCGCTGTGTGGAAATGACAGGTCTGAGGTACTGAAAGCTGGGGTTGGACCTCTTGGTGTCGTGGTTAAGTGTGCGGACTCTAATCTGGGAGAACCGGGTTTGATTCCCCACTCCTCCACTTGCACCTGGCTGGATGACCTTGGATCAGTCGCAAGCTCTGGCACAGCTGTCCTTGAAAAAGAGCAGTTTGTGTCAGAGTTCTCTCAGCCCCACCCACCTCACAGGGTGTCTGTTGTGGGGAGGGGAAGGGAAAGGAGTCTGTAAGCCACTCTGAGACACCTTTAGTTTGCTCTGGAGCCATCCTTCCTGAGCTAAGACAAAAAATATGTGAGCAGGAGAGAGCCAGTTTGGTGTAGTGGTTAAGTGCGCGGACTCTAATCTGGGAGAACCGGGTTTGATTCCCCACTCCTCCGCTTGCACCTGCTGATGTGACCTTGGGCAAGCTGTAGTTCTGACAAGAGCTGTCTTTGAAAAAGAGCGGTTTCTGTCAGAGCTCTCTCAGCCCCACCCACCTCACAGGGTGTCTGTTGTGGGGAGGGGGAGGGGGAGGGAAGGGAGTTTGTGAGCCGCTTTGAGACACCTTTGAGTAATGAAGGGCGGGGTATAAATCCAATCTCTCCTCTTCTTCTCCTCCTCTTCGGCAGCTGAGGGGGATTATTGGGGGCCTGGAGACCAAGAAGCCCCAGGAGGACAGGCCGAGGGACTTCTTGGGAATGTTCAGTCTGGAGAAGAGGAGGTTGAGTTTGGTGTAGTGGTTAAGTGTGCGGACTCTAATCTGGGAGAACCGGGTTTGATTCCCCCACTCCTCCGCTTGCAGCTGCTGATGTGACCTTGGGTCAGTCACAAGCTCTGGCACAGCTGTCCTTGAAAAAGAGGAGTTTGTGTCAGAGTTCTCTCAGCCCCACCCACCTCACAGGGTGTCCTGTTGTGGGGAGGGGAAGGGAGAGGAGTTTGTAAGCCACTCTGAGACTCCAAGTGAAGGGCAGGGGATAAATCCAATCTCTTCCTCTTCTTCTCTTCCTCTTCTTCTTCTTCCGCAACGTGAGAGAGAGAGAGGGGACCCTGGTGAAAATATTTCACAGGAGAAACGTTTATATGAAATGACACGTGGTGTGGAGAGGGACACGAGAACCCGGGAGTCATCCACTGACGCTGGAGGGTGGGAGGATTCAGGACGGACACAAGGAAGGACTTTGTCACGCGGCACGTGGCTAAACTGTGGGGCTGTCCCCACGACTCGCACCGTACAAAAGTTTTCCCTAAGATCCAGCCGGGACCTTCCCACCTCCCACTATTACAACTGATCTCCAGATGACGGAGACCAGCTCCCCTGGAGAAAACGGCTGCCTGGGAGGGAGGGCTCTTCGGCACTGTGTCCAACTGAAGCCCCTCCCCTCCCCAAACCCCGCCCTTCCCAGGCTCCACCCCCAAAACCTCCAGGTCTTCCCCAGCCTAGAGCCAGCGGCCCTAAGGATGTGTCGGCTCATCCTGGGTTGTCCATGCGCAGGGGTCATTTCGTAGGAAAAGAGGTGCCGGAGCTCATTAGCACGACTCAGTAGCATAACTTATTTGCATGTGCCACACCCCCTGACATCACCGGAAGTGTGTCAGAAGGCAACACCCTCCGCTCAGGCTCCACTGGACTCTTTTGGATTGCTAGCTATTGGGGGGAGGGGGGGGAATGTGCACATCTGCCCTCGCAGAGGAGGGAGAGCTTGTACCTGAAGGCGGGCCGGGGGGGGGGGGCTCTGCAACTTACCTGGCTGCTTCTTGCTCCTCGTGGCCCAACTGAGGGCTGCTGGGAGCAGGGGGCGGGGCTTGTTGCATGTGCCCGCTCTAAGGATGTCCGTGTGAGTTCTGATAACCGGCTTCCCCACGAAACAGGTCTCCGGGAACCAGCACGAAGAGCTGCAGAACGTCCGGAAACACATCCACTCCTGCTTCACCAAAATCTCCTGCTTCCTCTTACCTCACCCTGGCTTAAAAGTGGCCACCAACCCAAACTTCGACGGGAAGCTCAAAGGTTCGTGACCGTTCTGTTGGGATCTGTGTGCCGGTCGGTACTCATGGGGACTTGCGCACTCCATTGCTGTACTGAGAAGCCAACGGCCCTCTTTCGAGCCACGTAGCTCCAACCATGCATGGAAACGGCCGCTGAAAGTAATTACTTCAAGGGGAATGCTCAATTTGGTGTAGTGGTTAAGTGCGTGGACCCTAATCTGGGAGAACCGGGTTTGATTCCCCACTCCCTCCACTTGCACCTGCTGGATGACCTCGGGCAAGCCGTAGTTCTGGCACAGCTGTTCTTGAAAAAGAGCAGTTTCTGTCAGAGCTCTCTCAGCCCCACCTACCTCACAGGGTGTCTGTGGTAGGGAGGGGAGTTTGTAAGCTGCTCTGAGACTCCCTTGGGGAGTGAAGGGTGGGGTATAAATCCAGTCTCCTCCTCCTCTTCTACCCCAGGTGGGGGCACAGAGAGGAGGGGGGGCCAGCACAGTAATTTAATACTGGGGGGAAATTTGATGGATTTACGCTGGATCCTGTCCCGCCTTTCTACAGGTCTTTGTACTCACGCGGGGCATCGTTTAAACTGGGCTGTTATCTATGCAGCAAAGCAAAACCCTGCTTTATAATGAATCACACTATTATTCAATCCAGGTCAGTCCGGTCTACTCAGACTGGCAGCTGCTCTCCGGGGTCTCAGGCAGAGGTCTCTCACATCCCCTACTGCCTGCTCCTCTTAACTGGAGGTGCCGGGGATTGAACTTGAGACTTTCTGCATGCCAAGTAGAGGCTCTTCCACTGAACTACACACAGTCAGCTATGCGTGGGCATTGGTTTTGCTTGGATAGTGGCTCGGTTTAAACGAAATTAATGAGCAGTGGGCTTAGAACTGATAAAAGGAAGTCTTTCTTCGCCCAAAGAATAATTAGCATGCGGAATTCACTGCCGCAGGAAGTGGTGGCGGCTACAAGCATAGACAGCTTCAAGAGGGGACTGGAGAAACATCTGGAGCAGAGGTCCATCAGTGGCTATGAGCCACAAGGTATAGATAGGAGCTCTCAGGCTGGGGCAAGGGATGCTCTGTCTTCTTGGTGCTTGGAGGGGGGGGGCAACAGTGGCCCCGCCGGTGGACCTCCTGGTAACCCCTGGGCTTTGGCCACTGTGGGATACAGAGTGGTGGACTGGATGGGCCATTGGCCTGATCCAACATTGGCTTCTCTTATGTTCTTATGTTGAGAGCAGAGGTCCATCAGTGGCTATGAGCCACAAGGTATAGATAGGAGCTCTCAGGCTGGGGCAAGGGATGCTCTGTAGTCTTGGTGCTTGGGGGGGGGGCAACAGTGGCCCCGCCGGTGGACCTCCTGGTAACCCCTGGGCTTTGGCCACTGTGGGATACAGAGTGTTGGACTGGATGGGCCATTGGCCTGATCCAACATTGGCCTCTCTTACGAGATGCTGTGTGAGTGCAGAGTCTCAGAGGAGGAAACTTTTGCCTTGCCATTCTCACGTTAAATCTTCGGATGTTCGCACACCTGCCAGTTCGGCTCGCTTCTCGTTCGCCAGCAGCAATCAGGCAGCCAGTTAATCAGCAGGCTGTTGACAAACCTGTTCATGCGCATTTGCAGGAGGAAAGGTATAGGCATTGTGGGAACATGTGCGCAATATTTTAGACCATTTTGGACCTGCACTCCCTAATGCAGTTGCAATACAGTGGGGGAGGGGGTTGTGGCTCAGTGGAAGAGCCTCTGCTTGGCATGCAGGAGGTCCCAGGTTCAATCCCCGGCATCTCCAGCTAAAAGGACCAGGCGGCAGGTGATGTGAAAGATCTTCCTCTGCCTGAGACCCCGGAGAGCTGCGGCCAGTCTGAGTAGGCAATACTGACCTTGATGGACCGAGGGTCTGATTCAGTATAAGGCAGCCTCATGTGCAATTTCAATATACTTTTCCACTCCAGGATTGACTTCTGGGGGCGGGGAGTGACATTTCACAGAGTTGGACACAGGAGCTGGCCAATTGCCTGGCCTCTCCGATGTCACCCACTTCCTCCGAAACCCCTGGAGTGTTTCAACCTTTGGGGGGGGGGGAAGAACAGTTTCCTTTTTTTTTAGGTTATGCATATTTATTTTGGATCCCAGCCAGTGTTCTATGGTAATCAAACTGGGATGAATACCAAGAGCCTCTGTAAAATGCCATTCAACATCAAAAACAACACGTGTTGCCTGAAACAGAATGAGGCTGAGGATAGGAATGCGATGCCAGGGTGCTAAAAGTGCATTGATACGTACAATAAATATCTCCCAGTGTTACATCGCTGGGGGTGAGTAGCGGGTGAAGTAGGCCTCAATGCGTTTGTTTTTTGTTTCCCATATCTGTCATGTTTCATGGCTGGCAGAAGGCCCAGTGTCAGCAAGTCACAGAAAAGGCCCCCCGATGCCTGAGTTCGGTGGACGGCAGTGTTCCCTCTGAGCTGAGTTAGTGTGAGGCAGCTTACAGGTTTTTAGCCTCCAGCTCACGCATTTTTGTCTTAGCTCAGGAAGGAGGGCTGCAGAGCAAGCTTATTTATGTAGAAGCCAAATGGCTCGCTCACAACTTTAATGCCAGTCAGGGGTCATTTCCTGCAGGAGTGCACAGGGGCGGAGCTCCGGCAGTAAAGAGCCCAGGGGGCGGGCACATGCAACAAGCCCCACCCCTTGCTCCCAGCAGCCCTCAGTCAGAGCAAGAAGCAGCCAGGTAAGATGCAGAGTCTCTCCCCACCCCCCTTCCAAAACAGTCCAGTGGCACCTTTAAGACCAGGTTTTATTCAGGTACAAGCTCTCCCTCCTCTGCGAGGGCAGATCTGCACGCCCCCCCCCCAATAGCTAGCAATCCAAAACAGTCGAGTGGAGCCTGAGCAGTGGGTGTTGCCCTCTGACATACTTCCGGTGATGTCAGGGGGTGTGGCATATGCAAATAAGTTATGCTAATGAGCTATGCTAATGAGCTCCTGCACCTCTTTTTCTATGAAATGACCCCTGATGCCAGTAGCTCAGAAGGTAGAATCTTTGCTCACAAGACTCCACAGCTTAGAGGGAGCATTTGGTGGACGGTCCTAATTAATTTATTTGTTGTGGTTCTCAACCTTCCTAATGCCACGACCCTTTAATACAGTTCCTCATGTTGTGGTGACCCCCAACCATAAAATTATTTTCGTTGCTATCATAAAGACCATTGAAAATTTGTGTTTTCCGATGGTCTTAGGTGACCCCTGTGAAAGGGTCGTTTGACCCCCAAAGGGGTCACGACCCACAGGTTGAGAACCGCTGGTTTATACTTTGGATTTATGAATTGCTCAGTCCCTGAATACACAGGGCTCTGGGTAATTTACGTCAACAAAAGAATACATAAGTACATCATAATTACTAGTTAAGTTACAATAAAATATAACATTACAGACTTAAAAATTAATCCCCCAATGGTGTTAATAGTTACCCTTGAACTGGTTCTGGACCGTATTTCCACCTTGCAAGCAGGATAAGGAGGTGGGGGAAGAAGAGGGTGGCAGCCATGTTATTGCGTGTCTCTGCCTTGCGGGCCCTGCAGAATTGCATTAAGTCCCACACGCCCCTGATGGAAATTGACCGCTGTGCCCTCCAGAGGACCTGGTTGGTCACACTGTGAGACAGGAGGCTGGACTAGGTGGACCCTCACTGGTCTGATCCAGCAGGGCTCTCCTGATGTTCTTATGAAGGCCTCGGCCTCTCTGCCCTGTTGTTGGCCCTTCAGAGGAGCTAGTCGGCCACTGTGTGAGACAGGATGCTGGACTAGATGGACCCCTGGTCTGATCCAGCAAGGCTCTTCTGATATTCTTATGAAGGACTCGGCCTCTCTGCCCTGCTGCTGGCCCTCCAAAGAAACTGGTTGGCCACGGGTTGAGACAGGATGCTGGACTAGAGGACCACTGGTCTGATCCATCAGGCCTCTTTTGAGGTTCTTATGAAGGCCTCGGCCTCTGTGCCCTGTTGTTGCCCCTACAGAGGAACTGGATGACCACTGTGTGAGACAGGATGCTGGACTAGAGGAACCCCTGGTCTGATCCAGCAGGGCTCTTCTGTGGTTCTTATGAAGGCCTCAGCCTCTCTGCCCTGTTGTTGGCCCTCCAGAGGAACTGGTTGGCCCCTGTGTGACACGGGATGCTGGACTAGATGGACCCTGGTCTGATCCAGCAAGGCTCTTCTGATATTCTTATGAAGGACTCGGCCTCTCTGCCCTGCTGCTGGCCCTCCAAAGGAACTGGTTGGCCACGGGTTGAGACAGGATGCTGGACTAGATGGACCACTGGTCTGATCCAGCAGGCCTCTTCTGATGTTCTAATGAAGGCCTCGGCCTTTATGCCCTGTCGTTGGCCCACCAGAGGAACAGGATGGCCACTGTGTGAGACGGGATGCAGGACTAGAGGGACCCCTGGTCTAATCCAGCAGGGCTCTTCTGATGTCCTTATTTAAAGCTTGGTCCCCAGACCCCTAATAATCCACGTTACTCTCCTTGGCACCCACTCAAAAGCTTCTGTGTCCTTCCTATAAAAAGGCCTCCAGCACTGGATGCGATACTCCAAATGGGGTCTGACCAGAGCAGTATGTAGTGTACTTCCAAGCAGTGTTCCCTCTAAGCTGAGTTAGTGTGAGCTAGTTTACAGTTTTTTTAGCCTCCGGCTCACACAGGAAGAATGGCTCCAGAGCAAACTAATTTACGCAGTAGCCAAATCGCTCGCTCACAACTTTAATGCCAGCAGCTCACAAAGGAGAATTTTTGCTCACAAGACTCCACAGCTTAGAGGGAGTATTGCTTCCAAGTGGTCGTTATGTGGCTCCAAGAGCATCAGTAGCAGACATTTGTGTCTGATCCCAATTGTGTGTTCCTCATAGAAATTGACCCCGATTTCATCAAGAACTTGAAGGTGCTGATCCCCTGGCTGCTCAGCCCCGAGTATCTAGACGTCAAGGAGATCAACGGGAATAAGATCACCTGCCGTGGCCTGGTGGAATACTTCAAGGTAAGTGGCTGGCACAAGGGAAGCTCTGTGGTACAGTTTTGTCTTGTCCATCCTTCCCAGTAGCTCAGGGCAGCAAAAGCTACTCCAGTCTCCATTTTATCATCACCACAACCCTATGAGAAAGGTTAGGCTGGGAGAGAATTAGTCATCCAAAGTTATACAGTGAGTTTCACCGCACAGTGAGGATTTGAACCTGGGTCTTCTGTGTCCTAGTTCTACCTGATCACTGAGTGAGGCTGTGACGTCCTGCTTATTGGGGAGACAGTTTCTCCTTTAAAACACACACTGTGTACTTGAACTTAGTAGATTGCTGCTGCCACCAGGAATTAAAAATTCCAAATCTCTCTATTTTGGTAGAATGACCCAGTGTCTGGGCGCTTCAGAGGACTATGTGGCCCTGTGGAAGGACTGTTCTGATTGCTGGGATAAGTTTAAACAAATAATGGTTTATTTATAAAAGAACAAAATAGGTTTCTAGGTATTTTGAACTGTTGTTGAAGAAAGAAAATAAAACTGATAAAGCTTGGCGTCACACACAGTCTCTCAAATACCAAAACTCAACTCTGACAGGTTTGGACACTCAGTCCAAACTCACTTTCTCATATTCACGCAGGCTAAACTCTACCTTTCTTAGCCACACAGGCTGAACTCTTGTGCTCATATAGCCACACAGGCTGAACTCTCGTGCTCATATAGCCACACAGGCCAAACTTTCTCTCTCATAGCCACACAGGCTAAACTAAGCTCAACTGCTTCCTCTGTCATACAGACTCCCACAAAAACTCTCCACACTCCTCCCTTCAAGAACACAGAATCCCCTCACAGACACCCCTCCTCCCACACTCTCAGTCATTCACCAATCACATCACACTTGTCTCCCTCTATCACTCTCCTTACATTACTGCAGTCACACTAAACATTTAAAAAAACAGACACACCAAAACAAGAAATCATTACAGAGGCCTTTCTTTGGAATCCGTAAGGCTGTGGAGCGGAGCCTTCTTAGTTGTGGCACCCCAGCTTTTGGAAATCCCCTGTGAGGGCCGAATTAGTCATGACGGGGCAGCCACTTAAATTGGTTCACATATTTGCACAGTTTGTGTCTGAGTCTGGGCTTAAGGTCAGTAAGGAAACTCAACTTCCTCCGGTTCCTAATCCTGCAGCTGCATTCTGGACCAGCTGGGATGTCCGATCTGTGCTTGTACATTTATTTATCGACTTACTTCATCGATACCCTACTTGTCTCTGCAAAGTGGCTGATCATATTCTCCCGTTTTCCAGTTTACCTTCACAACAGCCCTGTGAGGCAGGCCAGGCCGAGAGTGTGTGGCTCACACTGGCCCAAGGTCGTCCATTAAGCTTCCATAGCAGAGGATTTGAACTGAGGACTCGCTGATCCTAGTTTGACACTCTAACCTCTGTGCCGTGCTGTCTCTCTGCCTCTGCAACTTGGTCTGCGCAGGCGCTTAAGACTAGCCTCAGCGGTCTGCTGTTTTCCCCCCCTCCCTTTCTAGGCCTATATTAAGATCTACCAAGGTGAAGAGCTGCCTCATCCAAAGTCCATGCTGCAGGTAAGCCTCGTATTCCCAGGGCAGGGAGGGGCGTTTGGGAGCATATTTTGGAGCAATCATTTGAGACAGCAAAGGGAGATCTTGGGCGGGAGGACGGCATGACATAGCCTGATCTCATCAGATCTCGGCTGTTAAGCAGGGTTAGTACTTGGAAGGGAGACCACCAAGGAAGGCTCTGCAGAGGAAGGCAACAGCCAACCACCTCTGCTTTTCACTTGCCTTGGAAGCCCCTTGCTGGGGTTGCCATAAGTTGGAAACTCAGCAGAGTCAGTACTTGGAAGGGAGACCACCAAGGAAGGCTCTGCAGAGGAAGGCAACGGCCAACTACCTCTGATTCTCTCTTGCCTTGGAAGCCCCTTGCTGGGGTTGCCATAATTTGGAAGCTCAGCAAAGGGAGACCTCCAAGGAAGGCTCTGCAGAGGAAAGCAATGGCAGACCACCTCTGCTTTTCACTTGCCTTGGAAGTCCCTTGCTGGGGTTGCCATAAGTTGGAAGCTCAACAGAGTCAGTACTTGGAAGGGAGACCACCAAGGAGGGCTCTGCAGAGGAAGGCAATGGCCAACCACCTCTGCTTTTCACTTGCCTTGGAAGCCCCTTGCTGGGGTTGCCATAAGTTGGAAGCTCAGCAGTACTTGGAAGGGAGACCACCAAGGAAGGCTCTGCAGAGGAAGGCCATGGCAGACCACCTCTGCTTTTCACTTGCCTTGAAAGCCCCTTGCTGGGGTTGCCATAAGTTTGAAGCTCAACAAAGTCAGTACTTGGAAGGTGGGACTGGCCTTGAAAGCCCCTTGCTGGGGTCGCCATAAGTTGGAAGCTCAGCAGGTTTGGTACTTGGAAGGGAGGCCACCAAGGAAGGCTCTGCAGAGGAAGGCAACGGCCAACCACCTCTGATTTTCTCTTGCCTTGGAAGCCCCTTGCTGGGGTTGCCATAAGTTGGAAGCTCAGCAAAGTCGGTACTTGGAAGGGAGACCACCAAAGAAGGCTCTGCAGAGGAAGGCAGTGGCAAACCACATCTGCTTTTCACTTGCCTTCCAAGCCTCTCGCCAGGGTCACCATTTATTTATTTAGTTACCTTCAATTTGTATCCCGCCTTGCCGGTGCAAACCATAAGTTGGAAGCTCAGTAGGGTTGGAAATGGGTGGGAGACCACCAAGGAAGACTCTGCAGAGGAAGGCCATGGCTTCTTCTGCTTCTCACTTGCCTTGAAAGCCCCTTGCTGGGGTCGCCATAAGTTGGAAGCTCAGCAGGTTTGGTACTTGGAAGGGAGGCCACCAAGGAAGGCTCTGCAGAGGAAGGCGATGGCAGACCACCTCTGCTTCTCACTTGCCTTGGAAGCCCCTTGCTGGGGTCGCCATAAGTTGGAAGCTCAGCAGGTTTGGTACTTGGAAGGGAGGCCACCAAGGAAGGCTCTGCAGAGGAAGGCGATGGCAGACCACCTCTGCTTCTCACTTGCCTTGGAAGCCCCTTGCTGGGGTCGCCATAAGTTGGAAGCTCAGCAGGTTTGGTACTTGGAAGGGAGGCCACCAAGGAAGGCTCTGCAGAGGAAGGCGATGGCAGACCACCTCTGCTTCTCACTTGCCTTGGAAGCCCCTTGCTGGGGTCGCCATAAGTTGGAAGCTCAGCAGGTTTGGTACTTGGAAGGGAGGCCACCAAGGAAGGCTCTGCAGAGGAAGGCGATGGCAGACCACCTCTGCTTCTCACTTGCCTTGGAAGCCCCTTGCTGGGGTCGCCATAAGTTGGAAGCTCAGCAGGTTTGGTACTTGGAAGGGAGGCCACCAAGGAAGGCTCTGCAGAGGAAGGCGATGGCAGACCACCTCTGCTTCTCACTTGCCTTGGAAGCCCCTTGCTGGGGTCGCCATAAGTTGGAAGCTCAGCAGGTTTGGTACTTGGAAGGGAGGCCACCAAGGAAGGCTCTGCAGAGGAAGGCGATGGCAGACCACCTCTGCTTCTCACTTGCCTTGGAAGCCCCTTGCTGGGGTCGCCATAAGTTGGAAGCTCAGCAGGTTTGGTACTTGGAAGGGAGGCCACCAAGGAAGGCTCTGCAGAGGAAGGCGATGGCAGACCACCTCTGCGTCTCACTGGCCTTGCTGGGGTCACCTTAAATCTCGGATGGGAGACCACCAAGGAAGGCTCTGTAGAAGGCAGCTTCGGTAGAAGGCAGAAGGTGTTCACGTTCACCCCCCAACGTCTACCTGTCTTCCCCCACAGGCTACAGCAGAAGCAAACAACCTGGCTGCCGTCGCTGCCTCCAAGGACACATACAACCGGCGAATGGAAGAGGTAAGCTGGGAATCCTCCGGGCTGGCCTGAGACCGCTGTGTGCCTGGCCCCCTTTGGGCTCTGGCGACATTTTGAGGGGCATTTTGAGAGGCGGTGGAACTGGGAAGACCCGGGCTGGGTGAAGCCGGTGAAAGGTCTCACATCCTGTTTCGCAGTCCTGTGCTTTTCTTTGTAAAATGAGAATTCTGTGAACTATGATCACCCAAAGTCTTGGCAGTTTTTTTTGAAAGAGGCCAGATTATGAACACCCTCTTACAAAGGTTCCCCTTGCTCGAAAGCCAGTCGAATCCGACTCTAGGGGGTGGGCAGTGCTCATCTCCGTTTCCAAGCCGAAGAGCCAGCGCTGTCCGAAGACGTTTCCGTGGTCATGTGGCCGGCATGACTAAACGCCGAGGCACGCGGAATGGCTGTTCCCTTCCCACCGAAGCGGTACCTGTTTATCTACTTGCAGTTTCTTGTTTTCGAACGGCCAGGTTGGCAGGAGCTGGGTCCAGAGACGGGAGTTCACTCCATCACGTGGCACTTGGGTCTCAAACTGCCGAACTACCGACCTTTCGGTCTGCAGTTCAGCATCTTAACCTCTGAGCCACCGCGGCCCCAAAACACACTCTTAACCTGTACGCTTTATGGGAAGGCGTATCGATCCTGCTGGGCCTGACCTTCTCCTCTGGCTTGTAGGTTTTCACCGAACGCCGACATTTGCTCCAAAACTGCCGTGTATTTATTTACCTAAAACATTTTTATGCCGCCTCTCCACCTCTGAGGGGCTGTGGCTCACTGGAAGAGCCTCTGCTTGGCATGCAGAAGGCCCCAGGTTCAATCCCCGTCAGTATGTATCAGTAAGACACTGGGAGAAGAAAACAAACCTGACCCAAAAACTGGAATCAAGAACCAAAAGGGTGAGAAGAAAGTCTAATGAAGGACCAATATTAAAAACCTAGTTAAAACTTATCATATACAAAAATACAAGTATTTATTAGGAAGACGGCTAAAAACATATATAAGGGTCCAATGAAAGCCTCGTACAAAAGTATAGCCTAAACACAAGGGCCAAGTTCCCTCTAAGCTGAGTTGGTGTGAGCCAGCTCACAGTTCTTTAGCCTCCGGCTCACACATTTTTGCCTTAGCTCAAGAAGGAGGGCTCCAGAGCAAACTAAATTTATGCAATAGCCAAATCGCTGGCTCACAACTTTAATGCCAGGAGCTCACAAAGTAGAACTTTTGCTCACAAGACTCCTCAGCTTAGAGGGAGCATTGCACATGATCTGATGCGTTTCTGCCCTATTGGGGCCTTCTTCAGAGGTCAAACAATATTGAGGTACACGTAATTTAAATACATATTGCGATAAGATAACCAATAGGTGAATAATGGAGGTCAAGCAGTAAGATCTAAAGACACCTGACAAAGATGTTTGTGAGGCCTCAAAAGGTGAAAGTCATTTGCCTGAGGACACTCTAGCTCTGACTTTGATAGTCACACAGGTGTTTTTCGGACCTTAATTGGAAGGTGTTCTAATTCAGCAACTATGCATTTGGCACCAGACACATGACTGGAAACCAGAGGATCCCCCAAGCATCGGGGACCTGGCAACCCTACCGCTGACACCTTCTCTGGTCCCCACCAGATGCTTTAGAAAGCCGTTCTGGCCAGGTGGGGCTTCTGATTGGCTATCTGAGATTTGATTGGCGGTGCAGGTTTTTTAAAAAAAGGTTGCTTTGGCTGCAGCTGCCACCACAGCACAAGGGTCTTCGCTATGCAAATGAAGGGAAGCTGCGGCAGCCATGTTGTGGTTGGCCCCGCCCACTGCGGCAGCCATGTTGTGGTTGGCCCCGCCCACTGCGGCAGCCATTTTGTGGTTGGCCCCCGCCCACTGCAGCAGCCATTTTTGTGGCAAGACCCTCCCATTCTGTGTCAGAAATCCAGAGGTGTCTAAAGGCTCAAAAAGGTTGGGAACCTCAGGATAATCTAACTATTTGTGACCTGGAGGAGACCACAGGGGGAGGAGCAAGCGGCTAATCCCGCGCTGTCCCCGCCCCCCCTCCTGTTAACCTCTCCAGGTGTGTGGAGGCGACAGGCCCTTCCTCGCCCCCAGCGACCTCCAGAGCAAGCACCTGGAGCTGAAAGAAGAGGCGGTGCGGCAGTTCCGGAGCGTGAAGAAGATGGGCGGCGAGGAGTTCAGCCGCCGCTACCTCCAGCAGCTGGAGAACGAGATCGACGAGACCTACGTCCAGTACATCAAGCACAACGACAGCAAGAACATCTTCCACGCCGCCCGCACGCCGGCCACCCTCTTCGTGGTCATCTTCATCACCTACGTGACGGCCGGCGTCACCGGCTTCATTGGGTTGGACATCATAGCCAGTCTGTGCAACATGATCATGGGCCTGACCCTGATCACCCTCTGCACCTGGGCCTACATTAGGTACTCCGGGGAGTACAGGGAGCTCGGGGCCGTCATAGACCAAGTGGCCGCGGCGCTATGGGACCAGGTAAGCGCACGATGCTCAGAACCCTAGACTCACACGGAGGCCATCTGGTCCCACCCCCTGCTCAGTGCAGGATCAGCCTAGAGCACCCCTGACAAAGGGTTGGTCCAGCCGCTCACCACCTCCCCAAGCAGCTGACACCGCTGTTGCACAACTCTGCCTGTAAGGGCTGTGGTCACAGACACGAAATTGTTCACTTTCTTTCTTTTTTTTAACCAGGTTTTTATTTTTTCCAACATAATAACTGATAAGCAAAAACAGACAAAAAACACACAAAAAAGGATCATTACAGCCTTAAAACCTTCATGTTCCTTACTCCTTACAGACATTTCTAAACTATTCAAGTGTTCTTGTCAATCCAATTGTATAATTTCACCCAATTCTTTTGAGAGGCGCCACCATCTTCTCTATCACGAAGCTTTTGAGTCAAACTGTCCAATTCAGCCACTTCCAAAATTTTTGTTCTAAAGTCCCGCTTATGTGGAATTTCTTCTTTCTTCCATTGCTTAGCCATCGTCATCCTTGCCGCAGTTACCAGATGTAAAAGAAGATATTTATCAGTTTTCTTTAGGTTATCCGGTAATACATTTAACAAAAAAAAATTCCGGATCTAAAGCTATCTGGACGCCCGGTACCTGCACTATTATCCTATGCACCTCTCTCCAACATTTCTTCACTTCATCACAGGTCCAACAAGAATGGTAAAAAGAGCCCACCTTAGACGAAATAATCCACTTTCAATGCACTTTCGAACTGGATTTTGCCAGGCTGGCTATAACCAGGGCCAGGGCCTTCTCGGTGGTGGCTCCTTTCTGGTGGAATAAGCTCCCAGAAGAGATCAGGGCTGTTGTGTACTGAGCTGAATCTCGTCAGCCCCAGCTTGGGGACATAGAACAATGGACTGCTAGGATCCTGGGATGGACCTATCACCCAGGAGTGCCTCTGTAAATAGCCTGGTATTTGGAGTGGGCGTGTGATGGGCGTGCCATTTTACGGGCTTATAAGCAGGGCCCCGGCCCTGCTAGAGTTGTCCTTAATTCCCAGCTGAAATCACAATAAAGCATGAGCCAATGACTCCACGCATCTGAACCCAGTATATTTCAAGGGCCCTGTGGGACCTCATGCAGGTCCGCAGGGCCTGCAAGACGGAGCTCTTCCACCAGGCCTTCAACGAGGAGCCGCCCCCAACAAAGAACCCTGTCCCCTGAAGAAGACATTAGAACAGCCTGTGCCAGCTGCACAAAGATCAGATCTACGGGCTGATCGCCAGGACGGAGCATCGACGGTCGTCCGCTATCTTTCAGTTCATTTAACCACCTGATAATTTATGAGTCTTATGTTGTTAGCACCTTTTAAGGTTGAGTTGTTTTACGTGGTTTTAGGATTATTTAAATGGTCTCTCCGTTGTTTTATTCCTTTGTAAGCCGCCCCCTTAGCCGGCCCTGGCTGGGAGGGCAGGGTATAAGTCTGATCAGGGCTATTTTGGGGCAGGAACGCACAGGAACGGCGTTCCGGCTGGCTCCTGAGTTGGCCACGCCCAGCAGGAACTCATTAGCATAATAGGCCACACCTAACAGCAGAAACTCATTAGGACTGGCTACATTAGGGGTGTGTGGCCTAACATGCAAAGGGTCCCTGCTACAAAACAAGGCCCTGGGTTTTGACAACAAAGTAAACAGAATAAGAAGCAAAAGGTGGGTGTGGCTGGATGAGCACACTTCTGGTAACATGGGTGTGTGGTCTAATAGGCTAATGAGCTGTGCTGTCAGGGGTGTGGCCTAATGTGCTAATGAGTTCCTGCTGTTGGGTGTGGCCTATTATGCTAATGAGTTTCTGCTAGGCTTTTTCTACAAAAAAGACCCTGAGTCTGATAATCAATAAAATAAAATAAAATAAAATCCAGTCGGAAAGTGCACAGAAAGTGGATTGAGAGTGGATTATTTAGTGTGTGACCACAGCCTAAAAATGTTTTTCTTAACATCCAGCCGGGACCTTCCTGCCCTTAATTCTGGAGCTGGCCTTTAGAATCCTCATTTTCGTGTCCGGTTACCTCTCTGTAAGAAGGAATCGGAAGTGATGCGGGCCGATAGGGCACCGAGGAAGCATAGGCAAGTACGAATGTAGAGGAGTGAGTTAAAGGGGACACATTATCCTCTGCTCCTCATAAAAGCTCTAGAACTGGGGTCCCCAACACGGTGACCGTCAGTACCCAGTGTCTGTAGTGACTGGGTGGGGCCGGGCGGGGCTTTTGCCCAGCAAGGCTTCTGATTGGCCACTGGAGATTCGATTGGCTGTGCAGATTTTGAGGAATTGCTTCGGCATAGGGCTGCCGTTCCCCCATTGGGGCCAGAGGCTCTCCCAATTCCGGGGGCTCCAATCCGTCATGGCCCAGCCGGCCGGCGGGGGAAGCCCCCTCCCGGTGCCGCTGGTGCCAGCGCAGTGACATCATCGCATTTCTGATGTTGGGGGCGACGCTCTAGGTTTTGGGCAAAACTCTATGGTTTCAAGGCCCAAAAAACCCGTAGAGCTTTGCCGAAAACCTTGAGCGTCACCCCTGACGTCGGAAACGTGATGAGGAACTACGGGAGGAAGCGGGAGGCCCCCCCGGCAGCCATTTTGTGACTGGCTCTGCCACAGCACAGGAATCTTCCCCATGTGACTGAAGGTAAGCTGGGGGGCCATTTTGTGACTAGCTCTGTCTCCTGTCCAAATTCCAAACATGCTCATAGGCTCAGAAGGGGTTGCGGACCTCCACTCTAGAACTTCTGAGCCACCCAGTGACAGCAGTTGTGGGGATGAACCTGTTCTTTGTGAGCCAGTTTGGTGTAGCGGTTAAGAGTGTGGACTCTTATCTGGGAGAGCCGGGTTTGATTCCCCACTCCTCCACTTGGCAGCTGCTGGTGTGGCCTTGGGTCAGTCAAGTTCTTTCAGAGCTGTTCTCTCAAGGGCAGTCCTCGAAAGAGCTCTCTCAGCCCCACCGACCTGACAGGGTGTCTGTTGCGGGGAGGGGAAGGGATAGGAGTTTGTAAGCGGCTCTAAGACTCCAAGTGAAGGGCGCTTAACCTTCAGGAGGTATAGCGATAGCTGCTAGCATAGAGGGTTGAAAGGAAGGGCAAATTCATGGAGTTGAGAGGGCCCACCAGTGGCTGAGTCACAGAGATAGCTAGCAACAAAACCTCCTTGTTCAGGGCAGTCTACCTCCGATTACCCCAGGAGGGCTGGGGGGGGGAAAAAAAGGGGGGCCGAAAAAATTGGGGGGGGGGGGGGACCACCAGGAGATCTCCTAGAATTACAACTGATAGAGATCATTTTCCTTGGAGAAAATGGCCGCTTTAGAGGGTGGACTCTATGGCATTAATGCAGGGGTGCCAAAGATAAGGCCCAGGGCTCTTACCCAGCCAGCCAGCAACTGGTATGCAAGGCCGGCTCACTCACTAGGTGAACTAGGCGACCACCTAGAGTGGGACGTCCCTTAGGGGCATCAAACTGCACCCGGCCCCGTACTCTGGGAGTTTCTTGATTATTTGTTATTTGTGTTTTTCATTCTTCCTAAAATGCATTTATTTTTGAAAATTGGTGGGCACACGGGGGCGGGGGGGGTAGAAGGGATCCTCGCCTAGGGTGCAAAATAAGCTGGAGCCGGCCCTCCTGGTATGGTATCCCTTGGAAGAAACCTAGTCTTGCCTACGATTAAATACATTTATTGGGGCTTTTTGTGGGCTCCCCAGTAAACCAGTTACTTTCACTGCTAGGGATCAATTGCTTTTGTTTGACACCCCTGCGAGCTGCTCCCCCCCCCAAGACCCTGGCTCAGTGGAAGAGCCTCTGCTTGGCATGCAGAAGGTCCCAGGCTCCACCCCCAGATATCCAGCGATTTCCCAACCTGGAGCTGGAACCCGAGCCAACAGCTTGCCCTCCTTCTGAGGTCTCGACCCACCGCCTGTTCACCTCTGGCAATGGGATGCTGGACTCGGACGGCCCTTGACCTGAGCCAACAAGTCAGTTCTTGCCTTCTCCATTTGCAGCCTTTTGGCGCCCCTGAAGTTATTCAGCCGTCCCTTAACAAGGTTGATGTTAGCACCTGTAAGGGATGAAGGGCTCTTGCAAATCCCTCCCTCTTAATGTAGGGCAGGCAGGGTGGAGGCAAATCATGTCTGCGCATGTGCAGACGCCCGGGGGCTCCTTTGCCCGTCCTGTGGCTGAGCCCAGGGTTTTGGAACCCGTCCTGGAACTGAAACGTCTGAGCCTTGAGGAAGAGAAGAAGAAGAGATTGGATTTATACCCCACCCTTCACTACCCAAAGGAGTCTCAGAATGACTTACAAACCCCTTCCCCTTCCCCTCCCCACAGCAGACACCCTGTGAGGGAAGTCGGGCTGAGAGAGCTCTGACAGAAACTGCTCTTTTCCAAGAACAGCTCTTATCAGAACTACGGCTTGCCCAAGGTCATCTAGCGAGGTGCAAGTGGAGGAGTGGGGAATCAAACCTGGTTCTCCCAGATTAGAGTCCGCGCACTTAACCACGACACCAAACTGGCCTTGACACATGCAGAATGTGCTTTGCATGTGTCAAAGGTGCTTTGACGCATGCAGAATGATGCGCTTTTAATGCACCTTAGCAGTTGTTTGCAAGTGGATTTTTTCCATTTCACACCGTAAATTCCAGTTCTTAAGTGCCCTGAAAGTGGACCGAAAGTGCATTATTCATTACACGTGAAGGTGGATCAAGTTAGCAAGAAAGGGCCGAATGCACAGCTAGAGAGAAGGAGATCCTGGGCGTTGCCGTTCCCCTTGCGGGAGCTTTGCAGTTCTCTTGCTCTGCCCCGTGCCCGGTGTGCCAGTCGTTACGTGACTTGGAGAGGCTGATTTCAGAACGGCCGATGACTACACCCGTCATCTTTATGGGTCGTCACTTGGAAACAACCCCCCCCCCCCATCAGCTTGCAGACAGACTGTCCTGTGGGGTGGGGTGGATCCTGTGGATGTGTTCTGTTGACAGCAGGTGCGTATTCCTAGCTTCTTGGGGAGCTGAGGCTTGAGATCAGAAGTTCACGGCTGCCGTAGGCTGGACTGAGTAGGTGTCCTGCTAAGCACCACCTCAGTATGGGGGTTCCAGAAGAAGAGATTGGATTTATACCCCATGGCCCTTCACTACCCAAAGGTGTTTCAGAACGGCTTACAAACTCCTTTCCCTCCCCCTCCCCACAACACACACCCTGTGAGGAAGGCGGGGCTGAGAGAGCTCTTTCGAGGACTGCCCTTGAGAGAACAGCTCTGAGAGAAGAAGAGGAGATTGGATTTATACCCCGCCCTTCACTACCCAAAGGAGTCTCAGAGCAGCTTACAAACTCCATTCCCTCCCCACAACAGAAGACACCCTGTGAGGTAGGCGGGGCTGAGAGAGCTCTTGACAGAAACTGCTCTTTTTCAAGGACAGCTGTGGCAGAACTATGGCTTACCCAAGGTCATCCAGCAGGTGCAAGGGGAGGAGTGGGGAATCAAACCCGGTTCTCCCAGATTAGAGTCCGCACTCTTAACCACTACACCAAACTGGCTCTCCCACTACATCAAACTGGATTGGATTGATCCCCTGCTGTTCACCGGGAGTCTCAGAGCGGCTTACAAACTCCTTTCCCTTCCCCTCCCCACAACAGGCACTCTGTGAAGTAGGCGGGGCTGAGAGAGCTCTGACAGAAACGGCTCTTTTTCAAGAAGAGCTCTGACAGAACTATGGCTTTCCCAAGGTCATTCAGCAGCTGCGAGTGGAGGAGTGGGGAATCAAATCCAGTTCTCCCGGATTACAGTCCGTGCACTTAACCACTACACCAAACCAGCTCTCCCAGGGAGCCGGGGGCCACCAGGTTGTGTAAGGAGGGGGGATTCAGCCCAGGCCAGAGCGCCCGTGCTGAGCAGCGAAGAGTCGGTGTGAGGCACAGTCTCTGTTTTAGAACTTGGATGGCACAGCCCGGAAAGCCACAGGCTTCTAATCGGGAGGGTTCGAGCCCCCAAGCAGGTGTTGGTCCTCTTTCTTACCGACGCTTCCCAGGGAAAGGGTGTTGAGGGTTTGCAAATGATGCCGCACACTTTTTTTTTCACCATGGTTTTTTTATTTTGTTTTTGCAACTGCCTTCCTTGCAGGGGAACACGAACGAGGTAAGCCGGTTTGTTGTTACATACGAAACGTTTGTGCTTCCGTCGCTGTGCATGTTGTGCGTCCGTGTGCCGGAACCTGACCAGTGTTCCCTCTAAGCTGAGTTAGTGTGAGCCAGCTCACAGTTTTTTAGCCTCCGGCTCACACATTTTTGTCTGAGCTCAGGAAGGATGTGGCTCCAGAGCAAACTAATTTCTGCAGCAGCCCAATCGCTCGCTCACCACTGTAATGCCAGTAGCTCACAAAGTAGAATTTTTGCTCACAAGACTCCGCAGCTTAGAGGGAGCATTGCACCTGACCTGGCTTTTCTGCCAGCAGCTTCTGCCCTCTTTCTTAGAGAGGGGAGCTGTGCTGTTTGTACCCCGCTGAGCTTTGGGGCATCCCTGCTTCTCAAGAGGGGTTGTGGCTCAGTGGTAGAGCGTCTGCTCCGCATGCAGAACGTCCCAGGTTCAATCCCCGGCATCTCCAGTTGAAAGGACCAGGCAGGAGGTGATGGGAAAGACCTGCGCCTGAGACCCCGGAGAGCCACTGTCGTTCTGAGTAGGCAGTATTTACTTTGATGGACCCATGGTCTGATTCAGTATAAGGCAACATCGTATGTGCAAAGGCATAAATGTATGGCATACAGAAGGTCTCGGGTTCGATCCCTGCCATCTCCAGTTAAAAACCAGGCAGTAGGTGATGTGAAGGACCTTGATCCAAGACCCTGGCTCAGTGGCAGAGCCTCTGCTTGGCATGCAGAAGGTTCCAGGTTCAAACCCCGGCTTCTCCAGTTAGAAAAGACCAGGCAGTAGGTGATGTGAAGGACCTTGATCCAAGACCCTGGCTCAGTGGCAGAGCCTCTGCTTGGCATGCAGAAGGTTCCAGGTTCAAACCCCGGCTTCTCCAGTTAGAAAAGACCAGGCAGTAGGTGATGTGAAGGACCTTGATCCAAGACCCTGGCTCAGTGGCAGAGCCTCTGCTTGGCATGCAGAAGGTTCCAGGTTCAAACCCCGGCTTCTCCAGTTAGAAAAGACCAGGCAGTAGGTGATGTGAAGGACCTTGATCCAAGACCCTGGCTCAGTGGCAGAGCCTCTGCTTGGCATGCAGAAGGTTCCAGGTTCAAACCCCGGCTTCTCCAGTTAGAAAAGACCAGGCAGTAGGTGATGTGAAGGACCTTGATCCAAGACCCTGGCTCAGTGGCAGAGCCTCTGCTTGGCATGCAGAAGGTTCCAGGTTCAAACCCCGGCTTCTCCAGTTAGAAAAGACCAGGCAGTAGGTGATGTGAAGGACCTTGATCCAAGACCCTGGCTCAGTGGCAGAGCCTCTGCTTGGCATGCAGAAGGTTCCAGGTTCAAACCCCGGCTTCTCCAGTTAGAAAAGACCAGGCAGTAGGTGATGTGAAGGACCTTGATCCAAGACCCTGGCTCAGTGGCAGAGCCTCTGCTTGGCATGCAGAAGGTTCCAGGTTCAAACCCCGGCTTCTCCAGTTAGAAAAGACCAGGCAGTAGGTGATGTGAAGGACCTTGATCCAAGACCCTGGCTCAGTGGCAGAGCCTCTGCTTGGCATGCAGAAGGTTCCAGGTTCAAACCCCGGCTTCTCCAGTTAGAAAAGACCAGGCAGTAGGTGATGTGAAGGACCTTGATCCAAGACCCTGGCTCAGTGGCAGAGCCTCTGCTTGGCATGCAGAAGGTTCCAGGTTCAAACCCCGGCTTCTCCAGTTAGAAAAGACCAGGCAGTAGGTGATGTGAAGGACCTTGATCCAAGACCCTGGCTCAGTGGCAGAGCCTCTGCTTGGCATGCAGAAGGTTCCAGGTTCAAACCCCGGCTTCTCCAGTTAGAAAAGACCAGGCAGTAGGTGATGTGAAGGACCTTGATCCAAGACCCTGGCTCAGTGGAAGAGCCTTTGCTTGGCATGCAGATGGTCCCGGGTTATCTCCAGTTAGAAAAGACCAGTTATCTCCAGTTAGAAAAGACCAGGCAGTAGGTGATGTGAAGGACCTTGATCCAAGACCCTGGCTCAGTGGAAGAGCCTCTGCTTGGCATGCAGAAGGTCCCGGGTTCAACCCCTGCCCCACGGGATCAACGTAACTCAGCTGTGACTTGATGGCATTGTCCACCCCCACCCCAGCCCGTATTTTTAAAGTTTCTGCAACTTCCCCTCGTAGTCATGATTCTCTGGGCAGAATTCAAAGTGCTGGTCTTGACCTTCAAAGCCCTATATGGCTTGGGACCCAACATACCCAGAGGACGGCCTAATCCCTTATGGTCATCTGCCCGACCGTTACGGTCGTCTTCAGAGGTCCTGCTTGGGGCGTCCTTCTGAGATTAGGTGGGCAGCCGCCTGGGACAGGCTGTTCTCAGTAGTGGCTGCAAAGCTCTGGAATTCTCGCCCCAGAGGGATGCGTCTCTCCTCTTCTGTTGATAACTTCTGCCAGTATGCGAATCCCCCCCCCCTTTTTTTCATTACCCCAATGATTCCTTCTTCCTAACCCATGTTTTTATGTCTTGTATGCAGGGCCTTTTTTTGTAGAAAAAGCCCAGCAGGAACTCATTAGCATATTAGGCCACACCCTGACAGCACAGCTCATTCGCATATTAGGCCACACCCCCATGTTACCAGAAGTGTGGTCATCCAGCCACACCCACCTATTGCTTCTTATTCTCTTTACCTTGTTTGTTGTCAAAACCCAGGGCTTTTTGCATGTTAGGCCACACACCCCTAATTGTAGCCAATCCTAATGAGTTCCTGCTGTTGGGCGTGACCTATTATGCTAATGAGTTCCTGCTGGGCGTGGTCAACTCGGGAGCCAGCCGGAACTCTGTTCCTGTGCGTTCCTGCCCAAAAATAGCCCTGCTTGTATGTATTCTGTTTTTTAACTCTTTAAAAAACTGTCTTAACGGTGTATGTTTGGGGGAGGGGTTGAATCGTTTTAGATGTAGTTACCTTGTATGTGCTGTTAGTTGCCTCGGGGGCCCTTATAAGTAAAATAAATAAAATAGGGTGCTATACAGGGGGCGGGGCAACCCCCCTCCCCCTAGAGCAGGGGTCTGCAACCTTTAAGACATAAAGAGCCACTTGGACCCGTTTCCGACGGGGGAAAAAAACCCGGGAGCCGTAAAAACCATCTTGGACAGGTCTCCTCAAGATCCCGCTCCAGTCTGTTCAGTGAGGCTTTACTCCAAGGAAAGTGTGTTCAGGATGGATCCACCGTGCCACCCTAAACGGGTCTCCGCAGACTCCCCCTCCATTCTCCCCGGCCTGTCAGTCACCCCCCGGAGCCGCGGCAAACGTTCAAAAGAGCCGCATGCGGCTCCGGAGCCGCGGGTTGCCGACCCCCGCCCTAGAGTCTGTGGTTTCTGCAACCCCTCTTTGCAGTCACGGAGGCTGAGAAATTTAGGTTTTTTTAAAAAGGAAAAGTTGCCTTTTGCATGTTTTTTCAAAATGTATTAAAACGTTTTTATCCCGCTTTTCCTCTTGGTTCAAGCGCCACATCCTGGGTCTGGGGGTGTTCCCATCTATAGGCAGGGTTGCCACTTTCTGGAAAGTCAGGGAAATGAAAATTGGTCAGGGAAAGTCAGGGGAATTGGGATTAAAATATATTCAAGCAGTGGATTTTTGACCTGCCGCTGCAAGACCACGATGTGTTCTTGTGGTAACTGGAATAGAGAAGGAGCAGAATACAAGTAGAACTCAATGATGCCCTTTCCCAACCATTTTAGATAGAACGTTTATATAGTTTTTTAGTATACCTTTAAAGCAACAACAAAAATGCCGTGTCATTTGTTAGCATTCAGAGTTGACTTGAATTGAAATTTGTATCTTGGTGTAACTTTTGGTGCAATTGCAAAACAGACGTTGCTGCAGTTAATGTCGAAAGAAGCCGATATCAAATCTCTTTGACAAATATTTTTGCAGTTTAGACTTGTGTAGTTGTAGAGTGGAACCTTACCTTGCATGAATGCAATTACATTTTTAAACTTGTGGTTATATTTGAATGGCGTTCAGGGAAATTGACAAATGTTGGTCAGGGAAAGGAAAAATAAAATTTTAGCGGCAACCCTGTATAGAGTTTTAGCACCCGGAGCTCTTACTGCGCCCAGTCTGGCGCCCAAGGCAGTGCCGAACGCACAGCTGTCTCCTGATGGGCAGGCTCTCTCTTTCTCCACAGGCCCTGTACAAGCTTTACAGCGCAGCCGCCACCCACAGACATTTGTACCACCACGCCTTCCCCACGGCGCAGAAGGCGGAGCCGGCCGAAGGCCCGGAGAAGAAGACGATGTAGCTCGGGAGCTTTCCGCGGAGGTGCATGAAAACACATAACATTTAAACATGTTAATCGTTGCATCCATGTCCAAGCCTCCGACACTCCTTGAAACGAGGGGGAGGGGGGGGAAATGAGGAGGAAACCGGTTAACCCCCTCACCTGGCTTGAGTGTCGCTGCTTTAATTTGGACGGTGCCCTGTCGGAAGGGGGGGAGGGGGTGATTGAGCATGCCTGTCATTTTCTTAAGACCACCACGGCTTTCTTTTGCTGCAGACAGGGGAAGGGGCTTCTCACTTTCCCAGGATACCCTGCCCACTTTTTAAATCCTTTTTCTCCATGCTTAAAAGGACCAGCCCAAAGAAGCAGGTAGCTGGTTTGCTTCTACTTGCAGGGGGGGGCGGTCCTCCATCCAAGGTGAGGGAGTGACACCTGCGATAGTAAGAAGGAATGTCCTCTCCCTGGGCACACTGAAGGTTTTCAGGACCCAGTCTGAAGTCATTAGGACGGCTGTTTTAGCCTTATCCAAAAGGGATCATGTTAGTCTCTTGATTATTTGCGCACAACGGTTCTTCGTTTAGCACATTTTTCTTCATCAAGCTGTGAATGACGATTTCGCTCCCTTTAAACGATTGCCTTGTCGGAAGCTGCAGAGTTCTTTTTTTGCTACGGTACGTTTAAAAAGATACGGGGAAATACCCCCGATTCTGTTCAGAATGCACAACACGAGCCCTTTGTACATGTACGAGTGTCACTGTATATATTTTTGTTCTGTTCATAAAAAGTGTGCCCAGTTTTTTATTTTGTCGTCAAATAATTAAAAGTCGGCTTTTGGTTCCTAAGATGTCTGTTGCCTCTGGAGTCCCTTCATCCGTGACAGTTTTGTCCTGTGTTTCCTCCAGGGAATCTCAAGGGAATGTGCGTGCCTCTCTGTTCCTCCCCTTGTATGCTCACCACCACCATCTGAGAGAATGACTGGCCCAAGGTCACTCCAAATTGAAACTGGGTTTCCTTAGACCCAGTCCATGTGTGGCGCCCTCACTTATTGGGGAGACAGGTTTGACCTTTAAAACACACACTGTGTACTTGGTAGATTTCTGCTGCCACCTGGAATTAAAAAATTCAAATCTCTCTTTTTTGGTAGAATGACCCAGTGTCTGGGCACTTCAGAGGACTATGTGGCCCTGAGGAAGGACTATTCTGATTGCTGTGATAAGTTTAAACAAAATTATTTATTTAATAAAGAATAAAATAGGTTGCTGGTTATTTTGAACTGTTGCTGATGAAAGGAACTTGTAAATATATCTGGCAAAGCTTGGCATCACAAACAGTCTCTCAAACTCCCGTACTCCGCTCTGACAGGCTTAGACACTCAGTCTAATCTCTCTCATATATATAGCCACACAGGCTAAACTCTTTGTCAACTCAAAAACTCCTACAGCCACACAGACTATGCTCTCTCTTCAAACGTCACACAGAATCACACACTCTCATAGACACCTGTCCTCCCACACTCTCAGTGATCAGCCAATCACTTCACACTTGTCTCCCTCTATCACTCACCTGACATTACTGCAGTCACACTAAACATTTAAAGAAACACACATCCCCAAAAATGGAATCATTACACCACATCTCTAACCCAGGGGTCCCTGATTTGGTGCCCATGGGCACCACAGCACCTGCCGACACTTTTCCCGCGGAGTGTTTTTAGAGAGTGAGCGGGGGTCACGTGGGGTTTTTTTTTCCAGCAAGGCTTTGGATTGGCTGTGCAGATTTTTTTTATATGTCGCTTTGGCAGCAGTTGCTCCCATAGCACAGGAATCTTAAGTGTGTTACTGAAAGTCATGAAGCTATCTGATACGGAATCAGGTCATTGGTCCATCAAAGTCTACCTGCTCCGTCACCTGCTCTCCAGGGTCTCAGGCGGAGGTCTTTCCCATCGCCTACTGCCTGGTCCTTTTAAATGGAGTCGCTGGGGATTGAACCTGGGACTTTCTTTACGCCAAGCAGTGGCTCTTCCGCTGAGTCACAGCCCCTCTTTCAATACCCTGGCCGCTCTGATTCTGAAGACACTTTGAGGTTCAGTGGGAGACAAAAAAAATCAAGAGAATTTATTCTGGCAACATCACAGCAACGCCTGTATTGAAACAAACTTAAAAGTTTATTCACTTGCTGAGATCAACAGGGGAGGGATGCTACATTCTAAACTACAGAGGACCGCTAAAAGAAGATATGCAGGTTGTGTTTATGCACTTGACAAGGTATCCTGAGCCTCAAAGGCAAGTGTGCTCTAGGATGTCTTTGTAAAAAAGGAGTTCTGTGCTGCATTGTCCCTGATTTAAGTTTTTCCCACCCACCCCAAGGCTCCGTGAGTTCAGTCCTCCAGCGTGCCCCAACTGAGGGCTCCCGTCTGGAGGCCCGATCTTGCTGTCGGCAGCAAGGCGCATGAAGGCAACAGTTTTCACACTTGTCTCTGTGGTGTCCGCTGTGACCGCCCCGCACAGATGAGTGACAAACCACACAAAAAAGGTCAGTCATCTGCAAAGTGCTGAGTTGCACTGGAAAACCTTGTTCCGTTTTTTTTTTTTAAGTTGTAAATGCTACAGTTTCTCCATAACACAAGCGTGGTCTCTTGACCCTTGAAATGGAGGGACAGAAGGAGAATCGGCCACACGCAGAGATCTGGGAGTTCCTAAAGATGCCCTCCTCCATTCAGGACGTTTCTTACAACGTTGCATCTTATGAAAAATATATTCTGTGTTCTTGAAGATACAGCTGGTTGCTTGAAAGACGCCCTGTTCTTTTAAAAAAATGTCACTCCCCCGTCCCCCCCCACTTGGAATAAGAAACTAACTTTTGCTATACAACATAACAAACCTCTTTTGTATTCAATAAACATGATACACAAAGAAGATTAATTACAAAAGGTGCCAGAACAAAAGGAGCTGCCTCTTCAACCAAAGGGCTTCTTCGCCACCCTTTCCCCTTGCCGAGTCTCTCCGGGGTCCGGGCGGCCGGGAGCGAGTTCAGAAGTTCTTGCTGTGCTGCTGGGCGTACCACTGCTGCCGCTGCTTACGGCTCTCCAGCTCCGAGAGGAGGGCCTGGCGGTAGGCTTCGTACAGCTTCACGATCCGCTCCAGCTCCTTCATGAAGAGCAGCTTCAGCATCCCCTGGTAGGTGTCCAGGTCGGCCAGCTGGAAGAGCTCCCACTTCAAGATGTGGTCGTACCTGTGGCAGGACGGCAAGGGAGACAATGACTCCTGGAGCAAACGCGTCGGATGGAGAGGACAGAGGGTGCCACTGCTGCCGAGCACATGAATGCGTGAAGCTGCCTTATATGAATCAGACTAGCAGTCGATACGGTCTACTCTGACTGGCAGCGGCTCTCCAGCTCCTGAAGCAGAGGTCTTTCATTGCACCTACTGCCTCAAACCTTTTAGCTGGAGATGCTGGGGGTTGAACCCGGGACCTTCTGCATGCCAAGCAGAGGCTCTGTCACTGAGCCACTGAGGTCTTTCATCACCTACCACCTGGTCCTTTTAACTGGAGACGCCGAGGATTGAACCCGGGACCTTCTGCATGCCAAGCAGAGGCTCTGTCACTGAGCCACTGAGGTCTTTCATCACCTACCACCTGGTCCTTTTAACTGGAGACGCCGAGGATTGAACCCGGGACCTTCTGCATGCCAAGCAGAGGCTCTGTCACTGAGCCACTGAGGTCTTTCATCACCTACCACCTGGTCCTTTTAACTGGAGACGCCGAGGATTGAACCCGGGACCTTCTGCATGGCAAGCAGAGGGAGTCCCTCTGTTCCACAGCCCCTCCTCAAAGGGCACTTGCCATTCCCACGGCACTAACAGGCACATCAGCTCTGTTCTTTATTCTGTTATTAGGACACTGGCTTCCGAAGGAGAAACACAGCCTTGAAGACTACTTTGGACAACCAGCCAACATAACTTTACGTTCAAAATTTATGTATTTAAAACATTTATTAGCCACTTTTCTTACTTACGAAGCTTAAGGCGGCTTAGAACATGGATTCCTGTCCCGGAATAAAGGTCACAGGGAGAGGCCCTGCTGCTAACTATATCCGGTCAATCAAAGAAGCTCTTTTGGCGGGTACACGAAAGAGGGCCTTTTCAGTGGCGGCCCCACGATTATGGGACAAACCTCGCCAAGGAGGTGCGCCTGGCTCCCTCGCTTCCACTCTTCAGGGGGCAGCTGCAGGCAGTTTTATTTAGGACTGTATTTGGTTCAGTTTATTAGCAGTTCTGAGTAGTGATTTAAATTTTTATTTTATCTTTTGAAGGTAATTTATTCTGTGTGTTTTATCTTTGTTTGTAAGCTGCCTTGAGCGCCATCAGGAAGGTGGCTAATAAACGTTTTAAATGATTGATTAAAACACATGAAATAAAACACATTAAACAAGAAAAACCAAAACCAAAAATTAAAATCCCAGTTCAGGACTGTGAGTGAATGTAACCAAATGTGGCCCTAAATAAAACCCACTGCCTCAATTTTTAAGAACCTCTCGCTTTGCTTTTAAGATACTTGGGAATTACGACTCCACGCTCTGAAAGCACTCAAGGTCTTCCCAGCAAGAATCACCAATTTCCCATTCACAGCCAGCCAGAATCGAGTCCAGTAGCGCCTTAAGAGACCAATGAGACTTCCAGGGTATAAGCTTTTGAGAGTCAAAGTGTCCTCCATCAGAATCTCGAAACCTCACACCCTGAAACTCTTGTTGTCTCTTAAGGAACCTGTAATGATTTCTTGTTTTGGGGTGTGTGTTTCTTTAAATGTTTAGTGTGACTGCAGTAATGTAAGGAGAATGATAGAGGGGGACAAGTGTGATGTGATTGGCTGATGACTGAGAGTGTGGGAGGAGGGGTGTCTCTGAGGGGATTCAGTGTTCTTGAAGAGAGGAGTTTGTGTGACTGTCTGAATGACAGAGGAAGCATATAGCCTGTGTGGCTATGAGCAAGAAAGTTTAGCCTGTGTGGCTATGATCAAGAGAGTTCAGCCTGTGTGGCTATGAGCAAGAAAGCTTAGCCTGTGTGGCTATGAGCAAGAGAGTTCAGCCTGTGTGGCTATATATGAGAGAGATAAGCCTGTCAGAGTTGAGTTTTTGTGTAACTTTGTCAGTTATATTTTCTTTCTTCAACAACAGTTCAAAAATACCCAGAAACCTATTTTGTTCTTTTATAAATAAATCAATCATTATTTGTTTAAACTTATCCCAGCAATCAGAACAGTCCTTCCTCAGGGCCACATTGTCCTCTGAAGCACCCAGACACTGGGTCATTCTACCAAAATAGAGACATTTGGAATTTTTTATTCCTCGTGGCAGTAGAAATCTACGAAGTTCATGTACACAGAGTGTGGTTTAAAGGAGAAACAGTCTCCCCAATAAGCAAGAGGTCACAGAGCCTACTGGATTCGAATCTAGCTGTTCTCCCGCAGAACAACATGGCTACGCTCTGAAACTAAATTCACAGCCAAGAAGCCGTGTGTGAAACTTAAGGTTCGGAGGCAAGCTAAGGAAGGTCAGCGTGAGAGAGATGCTCACTTGACGGGTGCCCTGGCGTAGACCTGCAGCCAGTCCGGGATCTCTGCTGTGTGGTACGGGTTGGCGGGCACGAGGATCGGCTGGCTCCTCTCACTCTGTTGTGGCTGATACGTCACGGGAGGCGGCTGGTCGTAACGGGGAACGCTGCACGGGGTCAAGAGCAGTTAGCCGGTTAGTTTGGCACGCGAGAGCAACACACACCTTTGTCCGGGGGGGGGGGAGTCATAAGAGACGCCAATGTTGGATCAGTCCAATGGCCCATCCAGTGGCCAAAAATACCAGGTGCCATCAGAAGGTCCAGCAGTGGGGCCAGGACATTAGAAGCCCTTCCACTGTTGACCCCCCCCCCCCAAAGCACCAAGAAGACAGAGCATCACTTGCCCCGGAGTCCCTATCTATACCTTGTGGCTAATAGCCACTGATGGACCTCTGCTCCATATGCCTATCTAATTCCCTTTTGAAGCCGTCCATGCTTGTAGCCGCAAGCTCTTGGGACGGACAAGCAGCGCGCCTCCCTGGAGGTGCGGGCACGTCAATTAAAAGGAACAGTGGCCATGGAGTGGGTTAGACCCCATTGCCGGACAGGTCTTTCCCCAGCTCTCAGACTTTGCCAGAGGCAGCAGTTGCCAAAGGCATTCTCGTTAGCATGTTTTTAGCCGGATGGGTTCTCTGCTAAAGGACATCCCATAGTTCTTGCACGTAGGGCTGCCAGGTTGGGAAATCCCTGGAGATTTTGTGGGTGGGGCCTGGGAAGGGCAGGATTTGGGGAGAAGAGAGACCAAACAGTGCATAATGCCACGGAGTCCACCCTCTAAAGCGGCCATTTTCTTCAGGGGAACTGATCTCTGTCGTCTAGAGAACAGCTGCAATTCTGGGAGATCTCCAGGCCCCACCTGGAGGCTGGCAACCCTGCTTGCAAGGCATCGGTTTCAATAAAGGTCTTGCAGCATTTCTTTTCTTTAAAGACTTCATTAATATTTTTTTTAAATATAACATTTAACAAAAAAGAAGCAGCTGTAAACTGAAATACTTCATGTCTCACAGTACAAAAGTGACAATCTGTACAGTAACTGAGAGACAAACACAATTTTAGATCGTCCAAAAGAATAAGAGTTTCTGGTAATGACGATTATTAGGAATAAAGTCTCCTTCAGATAGGTATGCGATCATCGGAAACCAAATTGCTTGGAATTCACATAAAGTACTGCCCGGGGTGAGTGCCGCATTCTGCGAGGCCATTTTCCCTAATAGAAAATATTCAAAAATCTTGTTTTTCCAAGGAATCAAGGTAGGGGGTTTCTCATCTTTCCATTTCTGAAACACTCTCGTGTGTCTCCAGTGCGCTGGAGCCGTGTGTGTGTGTGTGTGTGTGTGTGTGTGTGAGAGAGAGAGAGAGAGAGAGAGAGAGAGAGCTTCAATCCCAACTCAAAGAAGAAGAGATTGGGTAGTGAAGGGCGGGGTATAAATCCAAAGGTGTCTCAGAGCGGCTGACAGACTCCTTTCCCCCCCCCCACAACAGACACCCTGTAAGGTAGGCGGGGCTGAGAGAGCTCTTGACAGAAACTGCTCTTTTTCAAGGACAGCTCTTATCAGAGCTAGGCTTGCCCAAGGTCATCCAGCCAGGTGCAAGGGGAGGAGTGGAAGTGCAAGGGAGATGCAAGTGGAGGAGTGGGGAATCAAACCCAGTTCTCTCCAGATTAGAGTCCATGCACTTAACCACTACACCAAACTGACACAGAGAGACGGCGTGCACACAAAATATAAAGGCTTAAACATGTCACGGGCTCGAATGGTACTGTGGGGCCTTAGCCAGCACAGTAAAGCAGTCAGTGTGCTAAACTGCGGTCCGGCCGACACAAGTTCAAACTCTGTCATGGGAGCTTGCTCGACCTTGGGCTGGTCACGTGTGTTCAACCCAACCTACTTAACAGTAGATCAAAGTGGGCAGCCGTGTTGGTCTGAAGCGATAGAACATAGTCTGAGTCCAGTGGGGGCACCTCTGAGACCGACAACGTTTTATTCAAGGGGTGAGCTTCCGTGGGCACCCACACTTCGCCAGACAATGAACTGGAATTACAGATCATAGTTGTATAGATCATAGAGATTAGCATTGTTAAATTAGCCTGCAAAACAGTGAAGATGTTTTTAACAGATAAAAAGAATGACAAGCTTGGTTTCTGGTTCTCATCTGTTTGGGTTCGACTGACGATAACCAGTAGTCAAGCTTGTCATTCTTTTTAGCCAGTTTGGTGTCGTGGTTAAGTGCGTGGACTCTAATCTGGGAGAACCGGGTTTGATTCCCCCACTCCTCCACTTGCACCTGGCTGGATGACCTTGGGCAAGCCGTAGATCTGATAAGAGCTGTTCTTGAAAAAGAGCAGTTTCTGCCAGAGCTCTCTCAGCCCCACCCACCTCACAGGGTGTCTGTGGTGGGGAGGGGAAGGGAAAGGAGTTTGTGAGCCGTTCTGAGACTCCAAGTGAAGAGTGGGGTATAAATCCAATCTCATCATCATCTTCTTCATCTGTTAAAAAACATCTTCACTATTTTGAATGCTAATTTAACAAACCACCCTCTCTATATATACAACCAGGGCTATTTTTGGGCAGGAACGCACAGGAACGGAGTTCCGGCTGGCTTCAGAGTTGGCCACGCCCACTACAGCTAAAACATCTGTGCTCGTGGCTACAGAGGGAAGGCCTGGAGAGCAAACCCCCCCCCCCCCCGGCGACTCCGAAGCAGGCAGGCCAGGGGGGCACCCTGGAAGGATCGGGGAGACATTTAAGGGCCAGCTTGCCAGGCATCCCGCAGCCGTGGGGCAACTGGGCAAATCAAGGGAAGACATGGGGGTGTGGCCTAATATGCTAATGAACTGTGCTGTTGGGGTGTGTGGCCTATTATGCTAACCAGTTTCTGCTGTTGGGCGTAGCCTATTATGCTAATGAGTTCCGGCTGGGCTTTTTCTACAAAAAGAGCCCTGTAATACAACTATGATCTGTACTTCCATTTCATTGTCTGACGAAGTGTGCTTGCCCACGAAAGCTAACCCCTTGAATAAAACGTTGTTGGTCTTAAAGGTGCCTGACTGGACTCTACCTAACAGAAGAAAAGGGCAAGAGTCCGGTAGCACCTTAAAGACTAACAAAGTTTGCGGTAGGGTGTGAGCTTTCGTGAGTCACTGCTCACTCACCCCTCTGCATATTGCACCTAAATCCAATCGTGCCAGCTATCCTCATTCACCTGCTATTGTCATTTGCCTGCTAATACCACTGGGCATCTGAAATCACTCTGCTTTCCAATAAATAGGACAGATGGACTCCCATTCTAACTGTATCTGAAGAAGTGAACAGTGACTCAATAAAGCTCATATGCTGCCACAAAATTTATTAGTCTTCAAGGTGCTCCTGGACTCTTGCTCTTTTCTACTTCTGAAAAAGTGAGCAGCGACTCACAAAAGCTCCTACCATACCACAAAATTCGTTAGTCTTCAAGGTGCTCCTGGACTCTCTCTCTCTTCTACTGTTGCAGACAGACTAACATGGCTGCCCGTCTTGATCTACCTAACAGGGCTGTTGAGGATACAATTAAGGAGGGGAGAATCTTGTAAGCAATGCTCCCGCTAAGCTGTGGAATCTTGTGAGCAAAAATTCTACTTTGTGAGCTCCTGGCGTTGAAGTTGTGAGCGAGCGATTTGCCTGCTGCATAAATTAGTTTGCTCTGAAGTAATCCTTCCTGAGCCAAGACAAAAATGTGTGAACTGGAGGCCAAAAAACTGAGCTAGCTCACTCTAACTCAGCTTAGAGGGAACATTGGTTGTAAGCTACTCTGGGTCTCCCACGGGGGAGAAAAATACAAATGAAGGATACAAATGAAGTAAATACACAAGGCGTAAGGGGCACACACCAGGTTCTGCAGAATAAGGGAACACGCTGCTGAACTGGTACTTGACGTGTGTCTTTACATCTGCCAATCTAAGAAAGTGCCTCCTATGAGGAATTGTAGAAAAGGGTAAGCAAGCACAGAGCAAACGCTTGGTTTCAACAGCATCCCGAGGAAACTGACAACTGCAATGGAAGACATGAAGTTCATTTGGCCTCCTTGTGTTTATCAGAAACCGACCCAGTTCCTCCAGACACGCTGGAAGGAAAACCACCCTTTGGCTGGCCACACGCAGGGGGGCGCACCTCACCTGGGGGCACAGGGGTGTTTGTACTGTGCTCTCTTGTTGATGTGGTCGACGTAGTAGACGCCAAACTCGGCCGACTCCACGCGCTCCCATCCCGGAGGCAGCCCCTCGCGCTCCAGCGGGTGGCTCCAGTGCGTTGTGTTGGTGTTGTGGTCAATGTAGTACTTCCTTCCTCTGAGCGTCCAGTCCACTGACCAGCCGGGAGGGAGGGGTAAGTCTTCTGAACTGTGGTTGGTCAGGTTCCCTAGTGATGTAGCAGCTATCCGGCCAATGCCTGGAAAAGGCCAAGCGAGGGATCAGCAATGCAAATCGTCGGGCTGCAGAAGTTACACCATTCCTCTCACACGAAGCGGCTGAATACTGAATCAGACCCCTTCGTCTTTCGAAGTCGGCACTGTCGACTTTGCCTACTCAGACAGGCAGCGGCTCTCCAGGGTCTTAGGCGGAGGCCTTTTATGTCACCTACTGCCTGGTCCTATTTTTTAAAAAACTTTATTTTTATTTCAAATTTTTCATAGGTACATAAATATCTAATATAACCAGTTCAAGTTTCACTAGTAAAGTAGACAAAATCGAACAAACCCCCCCAAGAACCACGCAAACCCCCCTGCTAGAATACAAACACCAATACATTCCTAGAAACCAAAGGCCGCTTTAAAATGACAATGGCCCCGATCACACACAGAAGTAGCCGCGGGAGAGGCACGGCTGCCGGGTGGATTTTAACGGCGCGATCACACGGGAACATCTGGCAAGCGTCCTGCACCCGTCAGCAACCCGTCTCACTCCGCCGAAAACGCGGAGTTAAAAAATACCTGGGAAAACGCAGTCTCAAATAGATTGCGACAGGCCGCAGACGGAGTCCCCCCCCCCCCCCCGGCGTTTTCCAGCACGTGTGACCGGGACCAATGTGTCACAAACTATTACCAAGGCATTGTGAAAACACACCAACAGAGTTCCGCCTGGTCCTTTTTAACTGGAGATGCTGGAGACTGAACCTGGGACCTTCTGCGTGCCAAGCAGAGGCTCTGCCCCTGAGCCACGCCCCCTCCCCAAACACACGTGAAGTCCCCTTATACGGAATCAGATCACTGGTCCACTGAGCCACAGTCCCTTTTTACAGCTCGCCAGGGTCTCGTGCAGAAGTCTTTCCCATCACCTACTACCTGGTCCTTTTAACTGGAGATGCTGGGGATTGAACCTGGGACCTTCCGCATGCCAAGCAGATGCTCTGCCCCTGAGCTACAGCCCTGCTTCTCGGAAAAGCAGCCAAAGAAAGCTATTTGCATAGTGTATAAGAGGAGAGAGAGAGAAGAGATTGGGTTTATACCCCGCCCTTCACTACCCAAGGGAGTCTCAGAGCGGCTTACAAACTCCTTTCCCTTCCCCTCCCCACAACAGACGCCTTGTGAGGTCGGTGGGGCTGAGAGAGCTCTTGACAGAAACTGCTCTTCTTCAAGAACAGCTCTTATCAGAACTACGGCTTGCCCAAGGTCATCCAGCCAGGTGCAAGTGGAGGCGTGGGGAATCAAACCTGGTTCTCCTGGATTAGAGTCTGCGCACTTAACCACAACACCAAACTGACAATCTGCCCCCCCCCCCAGCCTTCTTCCTTAGCTGGGGCATTTATGCTTTATACGCGGCCCACGCACCCTTTTCACTCACCAAGGGCATATAACCTCAGGAATGGCCTGGGGTTGGCTACTACTGTGGTCTTCAGCCTTTCGTGATCTGGGACCCACCGAGCTGCAAGCGTGTGACGGGAACACATAAAGTTGCCCTCTGCTGAGTCAGACCGTTGGTCTTATCCGGGTCGACTCTGACCGGCAGCAGCTCGCCAGGCTATCAAGCAGAAATCTTTTACAGCGCCGACGACCTGTTCCTTTTTCGCTAGAGATGCCGTGGGCCTTCTGCAGGCAAAGCCGGCCTTGTACGACAGAGCCCTGGCTCCGCCCCATGGGACAGGAAGAGCGTATGACCGCACTGGTGTCAAGGGCAGGACCGTGGGCAGCAGGCCAACCAAAAGAGCTGGGGACAGGAAACGCAAACCATAGTGAGGAATGAGACACTTTCCCTATGAGGAAAGGTTAAGGCACTTAGGGCTCTTTAGCTTGGAGAAACGACGACTGAGGAGTGACATGATTGAGGTTTACAAGATTATGCATGGGATAGAGCAGGTAGAGAAAGAGGTACTTTTCTCCCTCTCTCACAATACAAGAACTCGTAGGCACTCCATGAAATTGCTGAACGGTCGGGTTAGAACAGATAAAAGGAAGTACTTCTTCACCCAAAGAGTGATTCACACTTGGAATTCACTGCCACAGGAAGTGGTGGCGGCTACAAGCATGGACGGCTTCGAAAGGGAATTAGATAAGCATATGGAGCAGAGGTCCATCAGTGGCTATTAGCCACAAGGTATAGATAGGGACTCTGGGGCAAGTGATGCTCTGTCAATCTTGGTGCTTGGGGGGGGGGTCAACAGTGGGAGGACTTCTAATGTCCTGGCCCCACTGCTGGACCTCCTGATGGCACTGGTATTTCTGGCCACTGTGTGATACAGAGTGTTGGACTGGATGGGCCTTTGGCCTGATCCAAGAAGTCCTTTTTGAGACTTTCCCCCTGAAGTCCTTTTTGAGACTTCCCCCCTGAAGTCCTTTTTGAGACTTCCCCCCTGAAGTCCTTTTTGAAACTTCTGTGTTACTGGGAACATCTAAGCTTAAAATGGGCAGCTTTACGACTGGATTCTGGTGCACCTCAAGAGCCAGCTAAATGCCCGAAATCTCCTGGCCCTCCCTCATTGCTTCACACCATGGCCTCTGCTTGGGTATGTTCAGCCCGGAGAGAAGACAACTGAAAGATGACACAGTAGCCATCTTCCAGTACTTGAAGGGCTGTCCTATAGAGGATGGTGTGGAGTTGTTTTCTGTTGCCCCAGAAGGTCGGACCAGAACCAACAGGTTGAAGTTAAATCAGAAGAGTTTTTTGGCTAAAGATTAGGAAGAACGGTTTCTCAGTGGAACAGGCTTCCTCGGGAGGTGGTGGGCTCTCCTCTGGAGGTTTTCATGCAGAGGCTAGATGGCCATCTGACAGCAATGCTGATCCTGTGAACTTAGGCAGATCATAAGAAGGAGGGCAGGGAGGGTTGCCTCAGTGCTTAGTTCTCGTGGCCCTTTTCTTACATGCCCAGGGAAATGCTGATCACCACTCTGGGGTCAGGAAGCCATTGTCTTCCAGGCCAGATTGGCTCAGGGAACCTGGAAGCTTTTTGTCTTCCCCTGGACAAAGAGCAGGGGTCAATGGGGGGAGTGTGTGTGGGGGTAGCTGTGATTGAGAGGCTAAGAGGATTGGATTTGCTTCTGGAAATTCTATGGGTTGAAATAGGGGGGCCAAAAGGAAACTTAACACTGGGAGTTTGTTATCGCCCACCAGATCAAAAGATAGAGGAGGATTATAAAATGATGAATGAATTAAAGATAACAGCTAGGCAAAAAGACTTTGTCGTAATAGGTGATTTTAACTACCCACACATTGATTGGGTCAATATGTGTTCTAGTCGGGGAAAAAGAGATTGAGTTTCTAAACACTCTAAATGACTGTGCTATGGAGCAGATGGTCACGGAACCTACCAGGGGAGAGGCGATCCTTGATTTGGTCCTAAGTAACACTCAAGACCTGGTGAGAGATGTAAAAGTGATTGCACAACCAGGTATAGGAAAAAGCCTGCATGGTTAACAAACAAAGTAATGGAAGCTGTAAAAGGTAAAAAGGATTCCTTTAAGCAGTGGAAAGCTAGTCACAGTGAGGCTGATAAAACAGAACACAGGCTATGGCAAATAAAATGCAAGTCTGCGGTCAGGCAGGCAAAAAGGGAATATGAGGAGCATATAGCAAAAAACGTAAAAACCAACAATAAAACTTTCTTCAAATACATTAGAAGCAGGAAACCAGCCAGGGAGGCAGTGGGGCCCTTGGACGACCAAGGGGTAAAAGGAGTATTGAAGGATGATAGGGAAATGGCTGAGAAGCTAAACACATTTTTTGCCTCTGTCTTCACTGTGGAAGATGAGAAGTGCTTGCCCACTCCAGAACCACTGATTTCAGGAGGGGTGTTGAAAGACCTGAGTCAGATTGAGGTAACGAGAGAGGAGGTCCTAAAACTGATAGACAACTTAAAAACTGAAAAATCACCAGGCCCAGATGGCATACATCCGAGAGTTCTGAAAGAACTCAAATGTGAACTTGTAGATCTCCTGACAAAGATATGTAATCTTTCCTTAAAATCTGCCTCCATTCCTGAGGATTGGAAGGTAGCAAATGTCACTCCCATCTTTAAAAAGGGTTCCAGAGGAGATCCGGGAAATTACAGGCCAGTCAGTCTGACGTCGATACCGGGTAAATTGGTGGAAACCATTATTAAGGAAAGAATTAGTAGGCACATAGATGAACAAAACCTATTGAGGCAGACTCAGCACGGTTTCTGTAAGGGAAGATCTTGTCTCACTAACCTGTTAGTGTTCTTTGAGGGGGTGAACAAACATGTGGACAAGGGGGATCCAATAGATATTATTTACCTTGACTTCCAGAAAGCTTTTGATAAAGTTCCTCATCAAAGGCTCCTAAGTAAGCTCAAAAATCATGGGATAGAAGGACAAGTCCTTTTATGGATCAAAAACTGGCTAGTTCATAGAAAACAGAGAGTGAGTGTAGGTGGGCAATTTTCTCAGTGGAGGGTGGTAAGCAGTGGGGTACCGCAGGGATCAGTACTTGGTCCACTGCTTTTTAACTTGTTCATTAATGATTTGGAGATGGGAGTAAGCAGTGAAGTGGCTAAATTTGCGGATGATACAAAGTTGTTCAGGGTGGTGAAAACCAGTGAGGATTGTGAGGCACTCCAAGGGGATCTGTCAAGGATGGGCGAGTGGGCGTCAACATGGCAAATGGGGTTCAATGTGGCCAAGTGCAAGGTGATGCACATTGGAGCCAAAAATCCTAAATATAAATACACATTGATGGGGTCTGAACTGGCAGAGACTGAGCAAGAGAGAGATCTTGGAGTTGTAGTGGATAACTCACTGAAAATGTCGAGACAGTGTGTGACTGCAATAAAGAAGGCCAATGCTATGCTGGGGATTATTAGGAAGGGTATTGAAAACAGATCAGCCAATATAATAATGCCCCTATATAAATCAATGGTGAGACCTCATTTGGAATACTGTGTGCAGTTCTGGGCACCACACCTTAAAAAGGATATTATAGCTTTGGAAAAAGTGCAGAAAAGGGCAACTCGAATGATAAAAGGGTTGGAACACTTTCCCTATGAGGAAAGGTTAAAGCGCTTAGGGCTCTTTAGCTTGGAGAAATGACGACTGAGGGGTGACATGATTGAGGTTTATAAGATTATGCATGGGAAAGAGCAGGTAGAGAAAGAGGTACTTTTCTCCCTTTCTCACAATACAAGATCTCGTGGGCACTCAATGAAATTGCTGAGCAGTCGGGTTAGAACGGATAAAAGAAAGCCCTCCTTCACCCAAAGAGTGATTAACACGTGGAATTTACTGCCACAGGAGGTGGCGGCGGCTACAAGCATGGACGGCTTCAAAAGGGAATTGGATAAGCATATGGAGCAGAGGTCCATCAGTGACTATTAGCCACAATGTATAGATAGGGGCTCTGGGGCAAGTGATGCTCTGTCTTCTTGGTGCTTGGGGGGGGGGGGCAACAGTGGGAGGACTTCTAATGTCCTGGCCCCACTGCTGGACCTCCTGATGGCACCTGGTGTTTGTGGCCACTGTGTGACAGAGTGTTGGACTGGATGGCCTTTTGGTCTGATCCAACATTGGCGTCTCTTATGTTCTTATTATGTTATGTTCTTCCCAATTGTGTAGGGGGTTGGACTAGATGACCCCTGTTCTCTCAAGGGCAGTCCTCGAAAGAGCTCTCTCAGCCCCACCTACCTCACAGGCTGTAAGTCTGTTGGGGGAAGGGGAAGGGAAAGGAGATTGTAAGCCACTCTGGGACTCCTTCGGGTAGTGAATGGTGGGGTACAAATCCAATCTCTTCTCCTCCTCCTCCTCTTCTTTTTTGGCCTGTGGGCATCACTGGAATTCTGGCAAAGGTTGGTGGGTGCAACCAAAAAATGGCCACCAGAAGAGGCGGAGCCAAACACAAGATGGCTCCCAGAAGAGGTGGAGCCACACACACACACACAGAGGAAGCCCAAGTGCAGGGGGGGGGGGGAAAACCCCACGAAAAAGGG